AAAGGGTATTGTTCCCCACTAGGAACAACAAATCCTCGTTCACCCAATCTATGCCCCTCCATATATTGTCCTGAAAATTTTTGCTCTTTATTACCTTGAGTTAAAGTCCACTAGTTCTGTGTATTAACTTAGAATCGTATCTCCCATGCAACTGTGTGCCAGTTTAAATTTAGGTATGTTAGACCCCATGTGCTATTTTAAAGAGCAATCATCATCTGTCAGGGAATCCTTCTGGGTTCATGGAATCGCTTGCGGTTTGCCATTGCCGTAGCTACCTCGAGTAACTTGTTAACGCTGCCAAACTGTCACTCTGGTCACTTGATTTTCCAGCACTGTGCTAAATAAATTGAGAGCATGGCCTCAGCAGCAATGGATCCCTGCAAGAGGCCAGTAATAACCCTGAAAAAATGCTTTCTGGAAATCTAAAAAGACAATAAACTTCCTTGTCTCCAACTTTGAAAAAACAGCAGTTGTGCAGCATGACCTCCTCTCACAAATGCTGTGTTGAGTCATTCATCCACGTATCTGCTGATGTTATTCTTTAAACGGGTTTCTATTAATTTAGTTGGGAAAGATGTCAGGCTTACTTCCAAAATTAAGACCACATACTGAAATCCAAAATTCCAAGGAATCCAGCAGCAAAAGTGAAGAGAAACAAGACAGGGGGGAGGGAGGGGGAAGATGTTGAACCTTTTCAATTTAAATTAACATATTGTTTAAGTACATGTACAATTAATTTTCTAGAGCAATATTAATAAACTTACAGTTTAAAAATACACACTGGTATACACTGCAAGACAGTTTTGAATACGAATTTTGGCAGGCTTTAAAAAAATCTTCATACACCTCAATACTCCGTACAAGAAACGACAAAAATCAGTTCAAAGTGGGAGGAACAGGATCTTGCTAAATTATAGTACTTTGGCTTTGCAGATTGTGAGTATTTATTAAATGCCTCCCTTTTCCCCTCCAGAAAAGGTCCTTTTTCACTTGCAGAGACTAATTATACTATGCCCACAAGTTACAATATTATTAAACTTGCAATACTGCACACGAAATACAGTTACAGATAATTAAAAAAAACCCTTTAGTAACACTCACTTAAGTGCAGAAACCACTTCTAGAAAAAGCTCTCCACCAGTGCAGCAATGCTCATTAGTTTTAAAATTAGTACAAAAGGTTTGGAGAGAAATAGCTCCTGGGTTGGGGGGCTGGTGGTAGGGTGCTGTGAAAAAAAATTGGCAAAATTTTGCCACTTGCTTCCACACTAGGAGGGTAGATGGATAAAGCTCTATTTTAGCAAACATTGTTAACAGTAATCTGGAACTTTAAAGGTTAAAGTATTAAAAATTAACAGCACTTACTCAGGGCCTGCTTTTTACCAGGTATGGGCAGAGAACGATTAGTACTCACAGCAGAAGTCATACCAGCATAGGAGACATGCCTTGTTTTGCTGATGCACAGGTATGGTGCAAACAGATGTTTAGCTGTTCCAATTTACTTGATTACTCCAGAAATAGTTGTACACTTCATGGAATTAAACTAGTAAGAATGCTACAGAGACAACAACTGATGACTTTTCACTTCTGCCTTTTCAAATAGTTGCTATTGTAACTGAACTCTTTGTAGTTGGAGTGAACTATAAAAACCCCACAATAATGTTAATTACTTGCCAAGACAACATAGTAAAAGCTAAAGTGGCAAATAAAAAGGAAATCAAGACATTACATGGATGTGCTGAAAAGACTTTGCAGTGGTTAGAGGCAAGTATGTGGCTTTGGCTTGAAACAGAAATATTTCAGTTTACATATGTTTCAGCCTTTCCCTAAAAGTTAATTATTTTTAGTGTGCACATGTAAGAGGAAGCAACTTCTGCTCATAGCATGAATACGTCTTACAGTCTACCCGTCTGAAGACTCCCTCAACTTATCAAATACACACTCCACACACTGCTCACAGAATGCCAGCAAGATCAAGGCAGGTCCTTGTCTTCAAAAGTTGGTTTCATTTATTTAAGACAAATAAAATGTCATTTCAAAGTTTGGCAAGAAGTTCTCAGCTACAGAAGAGCTCTACTACTCTTAATTTGTATGAGGTGCTACAGCAGGATGCTTTTCCTTCCCCCGAGGTCAGAACCACCAGTCATCACTATCTCCCATCGTCACCAACCTTTCTCCCACCATCATCCCACTGGCCGTAGTCCTCTTCCTCTAGCCTAACAATAGTGTCAGTATAGTTGCCAAATTCATGATGGTATTGCCTAACAGTCACATCTATGTGTAATTACACTTCTTAAAAGACCATCTTATTTTTGTGTTTCAGAGAAATACATCATGATGGTTGTGTCTTGAAGGCGAGACACAACCGTCATTATAATTTATCTACAAAATACCTTGCCATGCTAGCAAGGACTGAAGTGTTTATACTCTCAAAATCAAGTTCAGAAGCAATATAATTTGAAAACAACTCTCCCCTTCTGTGTCAGGAGAGCTACACCGTTTGTAACCTATACAACATTAAGCACCAGCGAGCCACAGCATTGGAACCTGCTGTTCCCCACGGTGAGGTACTTAAAGTCTCTATCCCGTAACAGCCACTCCCAATATATGCAAAGTACCATAATAGCAACAATTAATTCATAGGAGGGGAAGTGTTCAAAATTAAACAGCTGGCTAATGAAATATGCTATATCGTACTGCTATTAAGACAATCAGAAACTTGTATTTTTGAAAAATTGAGACCTGGAAGCAAGAAGAAAAGACAATCATGGCAAACTGGAGATAGTTATGATGGATGACAGTGAACTGAAGGTCTTACTTGATTTCTGAAGGTTGCGAGGAGATTCGGGGGACAGAGAGCTGGAGGTAACCTATTCTCAACTAATTTAATTCAGAATTACCTTAAAAGTAGTCAGCCATTTGCAATTTTTTTAAAATGCAACCATTGCAGCTTTTTTTTAAAAATAAGAACCAGAAACAAAGAAGATAAGGAAACTTGTTTGTCCTTTCACAAGGAAAAAGAGGAACAACTATTTGAGACACACACACAAAAAAAAAAAAAAAAAAGGAAAACCAGATCATCCTTTTATTGCTTTATGAAAAAGAAGGCATTTGTTGAATTCAAACATGAAGGTACAGATCAGATCTAATGATCTGTGGACACTATTACAGAAACAAGGATTTGTTTCTAAAAACCAAAAGGAGATTATGGATTCAGGAAAGGGTAGCTTATGAGACAGAACTGCTTGCAGATATACTGCTTTTTAGTATTCTGTAAAGCAATTCAGCAGAAAGAGATCTAATGCTTATTTTTATTTGCCACCAAGATCAATAAAAGTGAAGGTGTTTCTAAGGAAATCTCCTCAGCAGTAAGATCTTATACTAGATGACCATGATGAGAAAGTGATCTGCATTTAGACTGACTCTGGCTCTTACTCCTTTAAATGCAGTTTTATTTTCAAATTCAACTCTTGTCCTGTTTCACACTGAATAGTGCCTGCAGTGACCTATTCTTATGCAACATCCACAGAACTCCTGCTTAAGAATTTCATAAGTCAATACATCTACAGCTTTTTCTGCGAATATATGCAATATCATTAAGAACTCAAACCTCGTAAATTTTTATACAACTTCCGATTCCAAACGAAACTAGATTAAGCATTTTAATATTCAAGACATCATGTGCCATTTTGTTGCCCTCCAAGAAAACAAAGAAAACAGAATTGCATTTAATAGTTCTTCAAAAATGGTATTAAATTGCACAACTATCAGTCATCTGAGTGAAGATGATAAAAAATTTTTGTTTTCAAGAAAACAGAAGCCCGACTTAACCCTGAATTTCACCCAAACTACTTTGGTTTCAAGCACCCAATTCATGTTTAAAGTCCAACAACTAACTATATAATAATTACCTGGTAACATTTTTGATGTTACCCTGAGCAGACAAGCAGTGCAGCAAGATCAGTGTAGATGTTTATTTTCAAAATTATTTTTGTAATCACAACTGCTGTCTCTTAGCAACTTCCAAATATAGTTGAGGATTTGATAAGTGCTCTATTTAGGCTGTTTTAGGAACTGTTTCCACTTCAAACTATCTCTTCCAAACATTCAACAAAATAAGTTCCTGTTAAAATCAAAATAATGTATTGATTTTGTCTCAGCTATAGAAATTAGTTCATTTTTCAGCCTTCTGTTTGGAAAACAGAAGCTATTTGAATACAAAGATTGCTGTCAAACAATTTAATTCTCATTTTTCTGCAAAACTGAAGATAATGACAGTTCATAGGACTGCTTTCGCATGCTTCCTCAGAACGCTGTTGCTCTTCAGCTGCTATTTACCCAGCCCTATGTCCCACTTGGACACTGAAAAAGTCTTGCCTCATTACACTGGATTTCTGCAGTGTGCGTCTCCTACTAGAACTTTTCAGCCCCATATTTGTTCCACACTGATAACAACTTGGGTGTTATTTAAGCATCTCCTGTGCAACATTTTAGAGGTGCAAATAATGGTTATATTCATTAAAGAGAAAGCCTGGAGAAGGAGCCTGACTGATACAGATTAACAAGTTTTTTTAAGGAATGGAAATAAATTCCTGGGAACTTCAGCTACCTTCATGACTGTAGAGAGTATCTTTTGTTCCTTGTACAGGATTTATTCCGCCCCCCCTCCCCTTATAGTTTTTGTTTCCTGCTTACTGAATGCGGTGTCAATGAGTTCCACTTCATAGGAAAACTTTAAGGCAGGGCAGTATTTAATGCAACAAAACTACATCTTTATTGTGCAGCAATGACATGCTCCATTTATTCTCATTCAGAAGAGAATCCATAAAAGTCATAGAAAGCATCACCTTCATTTACTGTTACTTTTTATACGTAACGTAAGTAAGAAGCACCACGCTGCATGACAGACGGTAGAAAGAACGCCTTTATCGCCTATAAGCTTTTCAGCTGATTTACTGTTTTATGCTAACGTCACTAAGCATAAAAATACACTCTACTCACCAAATAAATTGCTCGAATGTCCTTGCTTAGATATGGGTTTCAGTTCATTTAATCCCCATGCGTAACGCTTATAATTATCCCAGGCATGTTTCA